TATGTAATTTTTTTATATTTCTTTTTCATCAGGAATTTGGGTATGGGGAACCCCCGTAGAGTTAGACATCAATGGAGTAAAAACATCCGTCTTTTACCTAGATACTGAAGGTTTTGAAAGTGTTGGCAAGTCAAACGTCTATGATGATAGGTAAATTGAATGGCTGCCCAGTTTGCAACTTGTCCATGGTGATTTTGAGCTGTGCATGGCCAACTGACATTTATTTTTGCAGGATATTTGCTCTTGCAACAGTCTTGAGTTCCGTGCTTATTTATAATCTTCCAGAAACGGTTAGTGCCTTTTTCTGCGGTGTTTAATATGAATAAGATTGTCGACTGAGTAAAGTCTGGTTTGTTGGCTATACAAATACGTTGTCTTAGGATCTCGTTGTGTCCTAGATTATTTTTCTTCTTTTGGAGGCTAAGCTGTTAATAATTGAAGGTTGCTTTCATTTAGAGTCATCAATGATTGAAGTTTGATATTATATGGACGATTTATGGTCCACTGGATCAGCACTCGATGGAAGTTCTTAATTTTAGAAAATTCACGGTATCATCAGTGTGGTAGAGGTTAGGTCTTTATCATGCAAAATCAGTTATGCATAGGCTTTCATGAGGATCAATTGTCACATATCATTGAAATACTCTATAATTCTAGGATCCAATAACAATTGTCAAAAGTTGGATGCCTTACTTCCTAATTAGTGATTCAGCTTAAACAGTATAGATCCCTTTAAAACAAACCCCTTGTCCCTGTTCTGAATTTTCCAAGCCAAGGAAATGCACAGAAGTTAGCGATAGCCGCCTCCTCTGCTCTCCCCTCATTCTCCTTCCCAAACGCAGGGCTATCCTCTAATGGAAACCCTTGGGTATCTTGAAACAGAAAGGGAAGGTTTCGTGTTTAACTCTCAGGTCCTCGAGTTTGGAGTTCTTTTAGAAACATGGAAAGAGTTTGTTGTATTACCTGTGCAAGTTGTAACCATATATGTAAGGAACCAAGGGCGCTCGATCAGGCTGTGTTTCATCTAGTATAACATTTCAGGAGCAAAACTTTAAGTTTTAGGAGAACGAGGAGAAGAGTGTCTTGTATAGGTATATAAAAAGTTGAGTCAATGAATTGAAATGTAAGTCTTTATTAACAAATATAAAGGTGAGTATGTTGTATTGGCTAAGATGTGTATACTATTGGGATCCACCAAATGAAGCTGCATGGTAGAAATGAGGGGCAAAAAATGGACAGAAATCAAAATGTCCTAATCATTAACTGAGAGTCCAACCTGTTCAATGAGTCCCATATGGCTTTAGATTTTATATGCGATCTTTAGATTTAATATTTTAGACAATTTGTCTGGTCTATCTTAAATTTGCTTGCTGTACTTTTACTTCTTAAGTTTTAGAGGCCTGTCAAAGTTTCATCTATCGTTTATAAGAAACAGACCAGGTTTCAGAGGCCAACTTAGTAGAGAAAACAAGCACAAACCTTTTTTTTGCGTGACCCCATAGCTTAACACTTTTTGAGTTTGTATTATTATTGTAGTCTTTGACCTTTCTCATCATATTACTTCTACCAATTCTTATGAATGATCGTGGGTCTTTGTGCCAGATCCGCGAGGCTGATATTTCTCGCCTGTCATTTGCTGTTGAACTTGCTGAAGAATTCTATGGAAGGTTTGCACTTTTCTACTCACATGGTGAAGCAGTATGTGAACTACTTTGTAAATGTGGTTGTCATTTATGTATAACTAACATGAGGTTATTCTATTGGTTGGCTGGCTTATCTTCACGGAGAATAGAGTGAAGGTAATGTTCTTGGTCTCTTGGCTGATGACCATGGTGCATCTCTTTACAATAATTTATGGTGCATCTGTAGTTGATGGCACTTCCTCTCTTCAATTTCCTAACAGGGTGAAGATGTTGCCTTTGAACCTTCGAAACTTCTTTGGCTTATCCAACGAGATTTTCTTCGTAAGTTCACTAATGCTTCGGTATCATGTTTGAGTAGGTTTCACTGTAAGCTGTTTTGCTTCTTTCAAGCAATACTCAAGATTTGAGGAATCTTCTATAGGCTAGTAGAAGTAGAAATTGTGAAGTTTAGACCACTATAGTATCACTTGCATCTGTAGCCTGCACTTAAGCGGGGCATGATTCATTTTTCTTTTTTAACCTTCTGTTATTTTTCAGAGGGGAAATCAGTGCAGGAGATGGTGAATGAAGCCCTTCGACGTGTGCCCAATCAAGATGGTTAGTTTACTCCAGTGAGTAGAATTTTTATTTTAAGTGCATTCACTTCATTTTGGAAAAGTTCTGATTGTGGAAATGGGATGTTATTCTAATTGCAGGAGACAGAAATATTGATCAGGTATTGATTCTTTTTTTTCTTCTTCCATATTTAACTTTATTATTATTATTATTATCAGAGAGCTCCCTGCCTTCCTAGATTGTAATAGTATTGTGCTTTTGGATGTCACCAGGTTAATCAGATCCGAGAATCATTGGCTATAATGGGCGACAACAGCACAGCTTTTAGCTTGCCACAAGTATGGGTCACTCACTACTTATTGCAGTTGACTTTTGACCTTCACTGTTTTTGGGGAGTGCTTGAGGGATTAGTTTATCTTTCTAGTGCCTCTCTTAACACTGCCAAACGAATATTGACAGCCTCACCTCCACCGGACAAAGCTTTGTGAAATGAAAGACGGTGAGCTTGAGCAATTGTATGTCTCAAGAAGGGACAAATTGAAAGATCTTGTTTCCAGTATCATTCGTCCAAAGATTGTGCAGGGTAAATCCATGAACGGGGAGGAGTTTGTAGCATTCCTTGAGCAGGTAACATAAATAGAGCATGCTAGTTTCTAAAATGTCTTGCTTTGCTAGTTGCCACATTGATTGTACTCACCCCTGACTTGCACTATTCAGATTCTTGAAGCCTTGAATAAAGGAGAAATACCATCAACTGGATCTCTTGTGGAGGTTTTCAACAAGGCTATCCTCGAGAGATGTTTGAAAATATACAGTGAAGGCATGACTAAATTAAATCTGCCACTGACAGAGGAATCTGTGCAAGATGCCCATGGAAGGTCAAGGGAAACAGCGATGAAAGTATTTGATGAACAACATTTTGGCCGTCATCATGCAAAGAGATCTGTCATGCAACTGGATGAAGAAATTGATAAGGTACTACTAATACAATCAGCAATCTCGCTAGTATGTTTCTTTTGCTGCTAATTAATAAAATTTTTGGGTTATGTGTGGCTAAAAGAAAAACGGTTTTGGTCTGTCCGTGTCTGTCCTTTAATTAGGTGCAGGTGAAAGAATGTGAAAGTCTTATGTGCTAGTCTGCGATTCACTCATCTTTTATAAAGCTGGTTATAATGTTGAACTCAATATGGTCCCAGTGGTGTAACTCTCTCATCTTTTCTCCTAATTATAAAAATCTAAATGCCTTCCACAATTTTGAATCTTGAGATAAGAGGCCCCCACTCTCTGAAACCGTTGAACTGGACTGACTGAATCCGTGGGCTTTCAGATCATATGCAAGAACATCCAAGCAATCCATGCATATCCACTTTCTTTCACTACTGGCTGATTGGATATTCAGTGAAAGTCAAATCACATTCACTTTTGCATCTTTAATTAATCAAAATGTGGATGGCCTGTTGATTTCTGGTGTGGTGCATTTAGCACTGCGCTGTTTGGTATGGTGATGCCTGCAACTGTCTAAGTACTTGTAGCCTTGAGACTGAATCCCACTTGGTCTTAAATTTCAGTATAGGGCGTAAAAGTATCTGAATATTCTGGATACGATTTTTCTTCCCTAATTTTCTCGAGTTACTTGTAGGTTTTCAAGCACATCATTATGGCAAATGAGTATCAATCTGCAAAACTCTGCGAGGCGCTATACTCTAGTTGTGAGGACAAAATGGACCAGCTTCAAGTCCTAAGACTTCCTTCCATGGCAAAATTCAATGCTGGGTTCTTGCAATGCAACCGGAGTTTTGAGCAGGAGTGTGTCGGGCCTTCAAAAGCAGTATACGAGAACCGCATGATGAAGGTAAGGCATCCTCATTCAGTTAATTCGTTTAATTGGTGCTTTTATTATGGATAACAATAGAAACCCTGAACCGTTGGACGTGTGTAATCAATTTTCACAGATGATGGGGAAATCGAAATCCCAATTTATAAAGGAATACAACCACAGGCTGTTCAACTGGTTGGTGACTTTCTCCCTTGTGATGGTGGTATTAGGCCGTTTCATTATAAAGTTCATTTTGATCGAGATCAGCGCGTGGATACTCTTCATCTTCCTAGAGACATACACTAGAATGTTTTGGTCAGCTGAGTCGCTTTATTACAACCCGGTCTGGCATTTCATAGTAGCAACCTGGGAGACAGTCGTTTACAGCCCTGTCCTTGATTTAGATAGGTACCCTCGTCTATCTCCTACCCTTATTAAATCTGCACTTCACTGTCACTTCTTTATTTCATTGAACTCCATTGATTTCTCAAATTTCCCCCCCTACAGATGGGCGATACCCGTGGTTTTGATAATTGCGATTCTGCTGCTATATTGGCGGTGTTATGGCCGAAGGAAACACGGGTCAAGATGGCTATTGCCAGTATACAACACCACGAAAAACGGCACCAACAGACCAAGAACAGACTGAGGCAGTTGGCGGCTCTAGGTACGTGGCCTGAAAGTTCGAAACATATTAGCGTCTACCATGACATGATGCCTTGCCCTACTTTTTGTTGTTCAACCAAAAAATTTGGGTGATCTCTTTGCGTTGTTGTAGCTCTTTTCTGTAATAGGTATTTCGATCGGTCTCTTGTTATGGTTTTTAGTTCAATAATAACAACAAAAGACAACTAAAAATTGCCATATTGGGTTCCGCAGTCAGAAAGCTGAGGCTTCACCAGCATCACTTCCTCCTATAAATTGATAGAAACAAGAGAACAAAGCAGAAAAAAACACACACTCCCATCTCTCTTTCTCTCTCAGTCAAAAAACACTCGTCACCCAAGTAGAAAGCAGTCAACCTCATCAACCCAAGAACAAAAGCACCCATCGCCACCCTCCGTTTCCTGCATCATCATGCACGATCAACGGCTGATATCCTGAATGTGCAAACTCTCATAATCCCCCCTGCTTCTTCTTCAGAGATTCCCCACTCCTCCTTTCCTCCAGAGCGGGTCCCACCCATTTCCTCTCTCACTGGTCACTTCTTCTTCTTCTTCCTCTTCACTAACTAAAACCCCAAAAACCTCACAGCAGTCAAAACTAACTCAACCAAACTCTCTCGAAGCTGGCATTGATGGAGGAGAGGCCGGAGACGGAGCTGATATCCATCCCGGCGACGCCGCGCGCGTCGACGCCGGAGATACTGACGCCGTCGGGGCAGAGGTCGCCGCGGCCGCCGTCCAAGGAGGCCAAGTCCTCGACGGCGTGGACGCCGACGTCGTTCATCTCGCCGAGGTTTCTGAGCCCCATTGGGACGCCGATGAAGAGGGTGCTGGTGAACATGAAAGGTTACCTGGAGGAAGTTGGGCATCTCACCAAGCTCAACCCGCAGGACGCCTGGCTGCCCATTACCGAGTCCAGAAATGGGAACGCTCACTACGCTGCCTTCCACAACCTCAACGCCGGCGTTGGGTTCCAGGCCCTCGTCTTGCCCGTCGCTTTCGCTTTCCTTGGCTGGTAACACATTCACTCTGCTCTTTTTTCTGGGTTGCTTTTTGTATCGGTAAATGTCCGAGCGGGGATGTAATTAATTTGGGTTCTTTTGCTTTCTGCCCTTTTTGTTGTTTTATGCTCGCTCGCTGTTTGAATAAATGCCTGTGTGAGTTAAGTGTTTGGCAGCAATGCATTGCATTGCAGTTGATTCTTTTTTGCTTCTGCAATTTTCTGGCTCGTTTGTTCTTCTTTTGTTTCGAAATCTACGAAAGGGGAATGTGTGAACATGTTTGAAGTAAAGTTCAGATTTGGTTAATATTTATGATTCTGCATAATCTAGGCCGAATTGCATTAATGGGGTCCTGAAAAAGTAGCGTGCTTGCTTTACTTTTTGTCCAATTAGCTCGGCGTAGGGGACAATTACATATTTCCATTATGGTTAGTTAATACTGACACCGGCTTTTCTTTTCCTTTTGATTGTACCTTTTACTATTGTAATTCGTTAACTTTCATAATGGGCGCAAGTTGCTGTCGGTGGTTGTTCTGTTGCTGAAATGAAACCATGCCTGCAATGATGGACTTTTTGTTGCTGAGCTTGATCGTCATTCTGAACACCAATTGTGCAGGAGCTGGGGAATACTGTCCTTGACCATAGCCTATATCTGGCAAATGTACACGTTGTGGATTCTAGTCCAGCTTCATGAAGCAGTTCCAGGGAAGAGATACAACAGATATGTTGAGCTCGCTCAAGCTGCGTTTGGTGAGCAATACGTTCTTAACCGTTAATTGGTACTTATGTACACTAGCAGAGGATTCAATTTGTCGAATCATGGCTTGTTGCAGGTGAAAGGTTGGGCCTTTGGCTTGCAGTCTTCCCAACTGTATACTTATCAGCTGGAACTGCAACAGCTTTGATTCTCATAGGAGGAGAGACCATGAAACTGTTCTTCCAAATAGTTTGTGGACCGATATGTACATCGAATCCCCTCACGACAGTCGAGTGGTACCTCGTGTTCACTACTCTCTGCATCGTTCTGTCTCAGCTTCCGAATCTCAACTCAATCGCTGGACTCTCTCTCATTGGTGCCATAACAGCCATCACTTACTCCACAATGGTGTGGGTGCTCTCTGTTAGCCAGCAGAGGCCACCTACAATCTCGTACGAACCTCTTTCACTACCGTCTTCCACTGCATCTGTCTTCTCTGTTCTGAATGCCCTCGGAATCGTGGCCTTTGCATTCAGGGGCCACAATCTTGTTCTCGAGATTCAGGTAAATCAACGTTGACATTTCAAGTGCATTGCAAGCATAGTTGATTGTTTTGTTTGATCTGATATGTAAGGCTTATCTGATGATGTTAGGCAACAATGCCGTCTACCTTCAAGCACCCAGCTCATGTGCCAATGTGGAGAGGAGCTAAGGTTGCATACTTCTTCATAGCAATGTGCTTGTTTCCTGTTGCAATTGGTGGCTTCTGGGCCTATGGTAACCTTGTAAGTAAACCAAATGATCAACTTCTTGTATTCTCTGTTGGTTTGTAGGGTGTCTGAAAAGTGAAAATAGACATGATTTATGTTTTTCTGTCCTCCTCTCATTTCAGATGCCATCAGGAGGAATTCTGAATGCCCTTTATGGCTTCCACAGCCACGACATCTCGCGAGGGCTTCTAGCAATGACATTCCTCCTAGTTGTATTCAACTGCTTGAGCAGCTTCCAGATATACTCAATGCCGGTATTCGACAGCTTCGAGGCCAGCTATACGAGCCGGACGAACCGGCCATGCTCGATCTGGGTCCGATCAGGGTTCCGGGTCTTCTACGGATTCGTCAACTTCTTCATAGGAGTGGCACTGCCATTCCTGTCAAGCCTTGCTGGTCTTCTGGGAGGAATGACGCTCCCAGTCACATTTGCATACCCATGCTTCATGTGGATTCTCATCAAGAAGCCCACCAAGTACAGCTTCAACTGGTACTTCAACTGGATCCTGGGCTGGCTTGGGATTGCATTCAGTCTGGCCTTCACCATTGGAGGTGTTTGGAGCATGGTCAACAGTGGACTCAAGCTCAAGTTCTTCAAGCCAAGTTAGAACAGAAGGTGGCTTTGTTGTAATCTCCTCGATCGCCCTTAGGCGAATGTTGTAGATTTGAGTTTTGTGTTTTGATAATTGCTGTTGTGCTTGTAATCAACTGGTGGACTGTGACTTAGTTAATTCATGATTATCATATTGCTCGCTGGCTTAAAGCTCAAGGTTTGAATTCAAAGGAAGGTAAAAATTGACCCCACACCTGTATCATTCGAGTCATGATTGGTCAAACGGTCCCCTCGATTCTTAACACTCTAGAACAAGCCTACCTTATCGTACAAGAAACTAAGGGCCACATTGACCCAGAGGGTTGCTTCAATTTAAAGGGATGACGCCAAAACAATATCATTTTGCATCATTTGCTTCTTTCACTACTTGTCATGACGACAGGGGTATGAGCATTTCTACTATGCTATATAGTATTAGTGCTTTAATGTATAACTTAAAGTTGTACCATATAATGAAATGTATAAGTTTAGATTGTACCATAAAAGAAGTTGTACCATTATGTTGTGGTACAACTTTACAACTTGAAGTTGTACCATCACATAAAGGTACAAGTTCAAGTTGTACCATAAAAGAATTTGTACAAACAGTATAGGTATAATATAAAGTTGTACCATAACGTTAAATGTACAATTTCAAGTTGTACCATAAGGCAAAAACCTATAGCACCAATACTATATAGCATTGTAAAATTCCTCCAGGGGTATATGCTTGCACTAAGCTAGTAACGTTCATGTGAAGTAAACCAGTCAAAACAATGATTTGAAGAGGGGCTAACTTACACGCATTGATGTCCAGGGTAAACTTCTATTTCAAGTGGGTAAGAACTACGAACAGAGGTAAAAGTGAATTGCATCAGATTTGGTCGATCAACTCTGTTAAGTTTACATCAGTTAATTATCCTTGATTCGAGCAACCAACGATCCTTCCTTGCGACGAAGCCGCAGAAGTAACAAGGCCTAAGCAGTTCAGATTTCCCATAAGAGCCAAGAGGCTAGGGTGATTCTTGATCCTCGTAAGAGCCAGATGGACCAAGCAACCCACCATTTGATCCCGTGAGAAATTCCTTTTGGCCTGAAAGCCCAAGTTTTTTTATGCAGTAACACTTAACAGCCATGCTACATTGCTACTTTGTTGATGGTGACGAGTGATGATGCCGACACCACTACTACTGTGTTTGAAAAAAGTCGGTCACTCATGTAATGGATAACGTTTGTTTGTTTGTTTGGTTAACTTAATTTGCAGAATATGAAAGGCAGAATAAGTTGGTGGGATTGCCCGGCTCGGCTCCTCCAGATTCTGCGAACTAAGTCAAAGGGATTGGCTCCAGAAGTCTAATTTGCAGGCCAAAAACGTATAAAAAGGTTAAACTTCGCAGCCCACCAGAAAAAAGGAATGAGAAGGAGACAAATTTGCTTCTAATCCGGGAAAATTGGCCTTTCATGTTCTGCAGAGATACAGAGCGGCAAATGAGATGAGAACCCAACCCACCGAGCTTTCCCCACGGACAGGTGGGGGCCAATTCGCCGAGCCGCGTCAAAACGAGAAGAAGCTCTCGCCGCCGACGGGCCCCATGATTCATAGATTCGGCCATGCGCATATAATAGAGACAGAAACCAGTAGCTAGCTAGCTGCTAATAATGAATTGATGCGTCATCGCCAAGCCACACACGATCGACCAACCTTCAAGTACTTTCCAGATGTGTGGGATTACTGTCCAAGAGGCAAGAAGCATTGTTATGAAACGATTAGTACTTTGATGCGTGACGGGATTTCACGCACCGGTGATCTCGAGCGATTTAGCGAAAGAACTAGAAAACACGATAATAGAGCTATTTTTTTTCTATTAATTACTAATTTTATTGATCGACTGAATAAAATGAAGAGCAAAGGTACATATTTATAGGACGAATCCTACAAACCCCTTTCCTCTTAAGACAAGAAAACCCAAACGCAAAGCAACAAGTAAACGAATACTACCTAAACAAGATACGTAATAATAATCCTAGACCCAAACTAATAGGAATAACCCGAATAATAACCGAATATCCCAACAAATAATAATAATAAAACAACAACAACAACAACAACAACAATAATAATAATAATAGTTATTATTATTATTATTAGTGGGCTCGGCCCAAGACGCCGTCACCCATCAATCCTCCCCCCTTTTTACAACTTCGTCCCCGAAGTTGCCTTCCGCTTCCGCTCCTCCTTCATCCTCTGCCTTGAAGTCACCGATCATGACGAAAACGTTCGCGTTGGCGCAACGATGCCCATACGTGAATCTCTCGTCGTAGTTATAGCACAGTCCGTCGCGACGACGCATAGCAGCTTCTTCTGGTGACAGGTTGCGAATGATGCGCAGTGGCGGAGGTGGTGGAGCTCGCACTGGTGTTGGCGCAGTCGGCGGAGCAGCTGGTGGTGGCGCCAGAGCCACGTTGGCAGACGTCGTGACAGCCCGCGGTGCGCTTTTCGCTGGTCCCCTCTCCAAACGCAACTCCTCCTCGCGTATCTTGGCCAATCGATACGCTTCGCCAGTGGTTTGCGGATTAAAAGCTCAGATATAGGCAGATATTTCCGGCTTCAATCCACCCATGTAGGACCCCATGATCGCAACCTCGGTCCAACTGCGGCAACGAATCACAATTTCTCGAACGTATGTTGATATTCGTCAACGGATCCAGTTTGACGAATTTTGGCCAACGCCTCATGTCCATATGACTTTTCCGAGGTCTCATACCTTTTCCATAACTCGGCGCACAGACTGCTCCAAGTCATCATCACCCAATGCTTTGCGAATTCTTCCTCAAGCCACATGATCCACTGGTTTGCGTCACCATTCATGTGATAAGTAACCAGCGCCACTTTCTGCTCTTCTGGAATGCACTGGTAACAAAGTACTGCTCAACACGCGAGACCCACCCAGATGGATCTTCCCTGCCAGTGAACTTTGAAAATTCGAGCGGTGCGATCCGGGTTCAAAACATTGCTTGACCCGGCTCCTCAAATTGGCCCAGGTGACCCATGGGTTGGGTAAACCCAGTCGGTCCACCCGAGTAAGGCCCGCACGGTCCGTGTCTTTGGGTCGGCCCACAACGGGTCCGCACCAGCTCTTCTGTCCCGGCTCGAACGGTGGTCTGGGCTCGACCCAGCTTGCCCCTGCCACAACCCACGACCCGCTTGGCCCAGCTCACTGCGCTCGTAGCCCACCCAGCGGCAATTGATGACTCGGCCCACTTCCCTAAAGACCCGGCCCGTATGCGCTCGACCCCGCCGGTCCATAGGGCCCATTCGCTTCCCCGACCCACTACTCCACTAGATCCGGCCCACACACGATCACGCCTTGCGCAGTCGGCCTTTCTCCAACTTGGCCTCCCTCGATTGCTCCTGGGTCAACCCCGTAGAGCAAGGCCCCACTCAGGCCACCCATGTTTGGGTTGAATCCTCGGATTGGGCCCACACTCCCGCGCCCACCGGGCTCGACGAGAGGCCCAGTCGGCCTTCCTCCTCGCATCGCGGCCTGCATCGCCTTGTTGTCGACGACGAGGTTTCCCCAGCCTACTCCGACGGGAATCCCGTGACCGATTCCACTGTCGCGTTTCTCGCTCTCAGTCGGCGCGCCTTCCGTCGCTCCAGGCGAGTGAAGCTCCACATCCCCAGTGACTCCCTTTAATTTTTCCATCGGCAGAATCTTATCAGCGGTGCGGCTGGTGATGTGGTTATGCCGACGCGGCGACTCGGTCGCCTTTCTTCCCCACGGTGGATCGCGGAGAATCGCAAGTATCGAGCTAACATCACCGGCTAGGCGATTCTGATCAACGCGGATGACGTTGATCTCCTCCTGCAGACGATCCTGGCCGTCCAACAGCTTCTCCTGGCCGCGTTGCAGCTGTCCCACGTCGACGCGCAGGTGCTCCAAGGTTGCTTCGTGCTCGCGGTTTAGGGCATCCTAGGCTTCAATCCTGGCGGTGATCGCCTGTTAGTAGCCGATGATTGCTTGGATTTGCGGCCCGAGGTCTTCATCGCCGGCGGCTTCCATGGATGAAGATTGTGTTGGTGGCTTGCGTGGTGGCATGGTCTCCTGGCTTGGTTCACTCGGAACCAGGCTATGATATCAATTGATGCGTGATGAGATTTCACGCACCGGTGATCTCGAGCGATTTAGCGAAAGAACTAGAAAACGAAGAGCTACTTTTCTCTACTAACTACTAATACTTTATTGATCGACTGAATAAAACGAAGAGCAAAGGTACATAATTATAGGACTAATCCTACAAACCCCTTTCCTCTTAAGACAAGGAAACCCAAACCCAAAGAAACAAGTAAACGAATACTTCCTAAACAAGATAGGTAATAATAATCCTAGACCCAAACTAATACAAAAATAACTAAATAATAACCGAATATCCCAACAAATAATAATAATAAAACAATAATAATAATTATAATTATAATATTAGAGTGCTCGGCCCAAGACACTATCACCCATCATACTTTAGATGGATGTATAGCAAGATCCGTCTTCGTAATTTTTGTGTTTGCATTTATTCCCCTTTGTGTATGCAAGTTAGTAACACTATTCACGAACAAGCAATTTTGATCTTGAACTTGAATGTTCCAGTTTCAAAATCTTTTAAATAGTATCTAAAGGATAAAAAGTAAACATATATCACTCTTATATATAGTAACACTGTTCTCATGTGGCTATTAACAATTTTTATTAGTTGCCACGTAAAATAATGTCCAGTAAAGATATAACGCATGCATTGGAAGTTAAACTATTGCTTCTCGTGAGCTCTTGAGGTGGAATCATGTCAAGAAACTTGTTAGTCCGTTGTAGTTCGATTGCTTAAGTTACTCTTTGACTCCATGATGCACGTCTCTCTATTGACATCGCTTCGGCGTCACCTCCATGATAACATAGAGATGCAACCAAATAAAGGGGGTGCGATACGTACCTTGGCACTCTTGTCTTTAATATCCGATGCCACAAAGTACTGCTCAAGGCGGCAAAGGAATTTCTCTAACTCCTTTGTGTTCCTCGACCCTCCAAATCTCATTTGTCTCAAAACATCCATACTCGAGGAGGATTGTGCCATGACAAGTGCGTTAAACATGATCCTCTTTAGGAGACTCACTTATCTCTTGAGCTCTGCAGCCTCGGTTTGATCGTCTCTCTTAACGAGTCGGTGTTGTTGTTGAGGAAGTCAAGCTGCTAGTTTCAAAGTGTCTTCAAGCCTTCTTCCAACCCCATGTGCATTGTCTCATGCATTGCATGTCTCCACAGTGATGCTTGCGACACTTTCGCATGACCTTGGGCCAAGTTCTCGATTGCATCAATGTGCTTGACTATCTTCTATCACTGCCACAACATTCTGAGCTCTTGATTGAAACTTGTCCCTTGGCCTTACTTGGGTTGGGATTCTTCACTTGATCCCTCCCAGTTCATCGTCATGAACTTCGAATCTAGATGCCAACTTGATAAAGCTCTCCCTTCTTCATGAGCACGAACCAAGTTTTGATCTCAGATGTCACAATTAAACCCTTTCGTGCGACTTAGAGCTAAAGTCTTGTTAGAGAGTTAAGTCAGCCTCACTCACACTCGCTCAAACTCACAAGAATATGTGAACTCTCTCTCTCTAGAGATGTACTACTCTCAATATTTATAAATAATTCCAAATGAGGGGGAAATGGTGTTAATATAGACCTCACCTCCTAAATGGATGGCTAAGATTAATCTAATCCTACGACTAAGGATGATTCTCTATAATTTTATACCGAAATATATACTTTATAGAATACTATATATGTATAACTACATATGCTACAAGATTTTAACTCTTCACACATATTCTACGAGGTGCATGTGTAGCCATGGGTTCACGAAAATAACCGCATATAATTTCTCCGAAAACAGACATTGTATTATTGTTGAAATTTTTCTTGCAAAATGTATCCATAAAGACTAATAAAATTCATAAACTATCCATTTTATCATGATTATATTTGCCATAAGGACTAAGAACATCCATAAAGTATCCATTATACAAAATAACACCAATTTGTTGTTCAGTTGCGGATCGATCGGAAAGCTGACAAAATTTTGGCAATCCTCGCACCAATCTAACTAGCCACTTTTAAAAGTAGATAAAACTCGCGCTCGATTCAAAACTACCCTTATAAAATTATCGAGTTTATAACTTGTGCATTGGAGGTCAATAGTTATCAGGTAGGCCAAAAAAGAAGAGAGTGGGTTGAAGCTAGGGGTGTAAGTTTGACCCTAAAGACTCACCGACCCTCCCCGACCGTGAGGGTCGACTACGTCAGTTTAGGGTCAGGTCCACTTACGGCGGGACAGCTTTTGACCCTATGACCCATTGCAACAATTATTGATATGAAATTCCACATAACAACACATTAGACCTGTTTGTAAAGGTTTAAAAGTTTAGATCTTATAATGTAAGGTAAAAAATATGAAGGTACCAAAACGTAATTTTACCACCAAATTTTTTAAACCAATTTGTAAAAAAAAGTACTAAATTGTAAAAAAAATTTAATTTTTGTACCGATCCTAGAGGGTCAAATAGGATCTAGATGAAAACATGTATCAGACAGGTTTGTGATCTTTCAGGCAGCAACAGGTCATACAAGATCAGAGATAGGTCAATAACGAATCAGACCAATTTTCAACGCTAGTTGAAACTAGACATAAGATCTTATGAGACTTGGTGCGACCAAGAGATTAGGGGGGAACCGTCAACTATGCATATTTGGTAACTTTGTGGTGTGAAGAAGTATATTGCGTGAGGTAGGTACCGTGGTGAAAATTTATCTATAAAAATTGAGGTAAAAACTTATGGACGCACTGAGTCATCTTCAGCTAGGTAGGAGTGGACAATGAAATTAAAGAAAACATATATTGAAATTGAATTTAGACCGAATCAAATGAACCAAACATGTTTTTAGTTCGATTCTAGTCCTATTTTTCTTTATTTTTATTTGATTTTATCTCAATTTGATTAGATTTTGAACTGAATCGACCGATGTGTAGCAAAGTTAAAGACTATAAATGGTTTCGTGAAACTTGATACAGAGGCTGACTGACATTCTTTGATATCCGACTCCCACCATCCTCACTAGTCAGTCACGGCCACCTAACCAAACCCCAACTTGGATATGGTCCACCACTTACTATTTGGAGGATGATCCTCCACTTTCATCCAACGACTAATAAAAATGGCCCATTAAATCAAAAGTTCAGATCTCTTAGGAAAATAGATAGTGGATTATAGGGTACACGGACTGAAAAGCAACTGACAAAGTGGGTCTTTTGTGTTTAACAAAATTTATGTATATTATAGTTGTATATGTACATTCTGGTTGAACAAAAATCAAATTAGTATTGAACAAAAATCATATTTGTATGGAACAAAAAAACATATTTATATTGAACAAAATTCATACTTGTATGGAACATAAATACACATTAGCATACATATTCGTAATGAACAAAAAAAAAATTTGTATTGAACAAAAACATATTCCGTATGTATGATTTGTGTATTCGTAATTTTCACGACTTTTATTCAAAATAATATACTACATATTAAATTACATATTCTTACGAGACACAAAACATATTCGTACCAAACCCAAAACATATTTGTACAATGCCGAAATCATATTCATCATTTTCGACAACTTGTACAACACATTCTTCACTCTTCCAAAATCTTCCCCCACTAACCTAACCTTCTTTTCTCCAAATCTGTTCCCATCCCTCTTACTAACAACAACCTCAAATAACCATGTTTGAACTACAAATTTTGGGAGTCGATTCTGATAGCCGAAAAATAGAGAATCTGTTCTGGTTCTGTTTTCATTTGAGAACTGAACAAACGAAAGGCTTTCTTCTTTAACATACCAAACAAACTACACGCTAACACCCAAACGGTACGGAGAATAACCCTCCCACTCCCGGGAAATCCCCAAAATCCACAAGCCTCCTCTTCTCCTTCGCCGCTGTAACTGCAGCTGGGATCGCACAAAACAAAATTACACTACACAAAACAAAAGGGAGTTGCTAAAGGTCGCCCTTAAAATTGCTAAAGGTCGCCCTAAAAAGAATAAAAGTTACACTTTTAACCCCCATAGCTTCTTTACCTTCCCTTCCTCAAACAAACATCACTTGGACTAAAAAAACACTCTCTAAGGAGAGAAAAATCTCTCATCGTCATTTTGAAGCCGATATCGTCGATAGGACGTCTGAATCATGAGTAGCGACTCCGACGAGGTAAGAACATGAACAAAAAAAAAAAAAAAAACAGAAAATGGGAACCGCGGGTGATTTGCGGTCCGACCATGGTCCAACCGCAAGTGACCTGCGGTTGAACCATGGCTGGACCGCAAATCACCTGCGGTTGAGCCATTGGTGGACCGCAATTGACCTGCGGTTGGACCATGGTCGGACCGCAAATCACCTGCGGTTCAGCCATGGTCCAACCGCAGGTCAATTGCGGTCCACCAATGGCTTAACCGCAGGTGATTTGCGGTCCGACCATGGTCAAACCGCAGGTCACTTGCGGTTGGGCATTTTTTGGTTTTTTTTTTTTTTTTTCGTTGAATAATTTTTTTTATATGATTTATGATTGTTCCATGAAATAATTTGTTGGGTTTTGATTTATATAATTTATTAGATTTATTTGCATAATTATTTTTGGAATTGAAGGATTTAGCATTAGAAATTAAGATTAGATTTTTGGAATTGAAGGATTTAGCATTAGAAATTAAGATTAGATTTGGCCTTAAATTAAGATTAGATTTAATTTGGTGTTAATCTAGAAAATTAAGATTAGATTTTGCATTACAAATTAAGATTAATATAATTTATTAGATTTATTGGGTTTTGATTAGATTTTTGGAATTGAAGGAATTAGCATTAGAAATTAAGATTAGATTTGGCCTTAAATTAAGATTAGATTTAATTTGGTGTTAATCTAGAAAATTAAGATTAGATTTTGCATTACAAATTAAGATTAAATTTATTGCATAAATAATAGATTCGCATATGAAGTTATGATGATTATTAATTTTAATACTGATAACATTGCAGGATATTGGAAGTTACAATCCGGATGGCCATGATTACACCTCGGATTTCATTGATGGCGTGAAATACACTACGGAGTTGCAAGCATATGAAGCAGCCATTGAGATTGCAAAGGGTTTTGGGTTTTATTTGGTGAGGGCATCGAACAAAAAAAATACGAATGAAGGTACTTGGCGACATTACTTACATTGCACTCATGGTAGGAAGAAGAAGTCGAAGGAACCTGATCCGAGTAAGGAAACGAGGCCTCTTACATCTACTGAAAAGTTGGGGTGCGAGTTTAAGATCAAGCTTGAGCGGTCAGGTGATGGATATTGGTTGATCCTAGGGGTGGCAAATACAAAGAATCCTGGTGCTAATTTGGGTTTCCACAATCATCAGTTGGAGCTATTTCCGGAGGGATCAAAGGGAAGGAATGTTTTGACTACAGAGGACAAGCAATACATCAGAGAGCTGAGATCAGCCGGTGTCCCACCAAGGAATATCCACAAGGCAGTGAATGACAGAAAAGGTGCAAATGGAACACACAACAGAAAGCAGATTTATAACGAGTGTCACAAGATAAGGAAAGAAGAGCTTGGTCAGATGACAGCCTTACAGTATACTTTCCGCATGGCGCAGGGGAACCTTGTACATGTACGTTTCTTCCTACCTATGGTCTCCCATGTAGATGTTCCATTCAGTTAGCACGACGTGAAAATCGGGATTTCGCCTTGTATGATGTGTTGCCATTCTGGACCGTTATCAACTATCGTGAACCTCCTACTCGGCCGGAGTGGGATGACCATAGTGATTACCACCGTGGTGTGTTCCAAGGTCTAGTACAGGAGGTTCTTGATAGAGGCGACGAGACCATTCGAGGTGCAATCGGCCTACTCCGGAGCCATCTTCATCCTGAAAATGATGGCATTGATGAACCGCATGGGGGACAGCCCCGCCCCGGTCGCCCAAGGACGTCCACCACTCGAAACCTGTCTCACTTCGAGCATGTGGAGAGGAGACGAGGGAGGAGAAGTTCAAGACTTCCGACTGCAACTCCGGACAATGATGGAAATACAGGTAGATTAACTTTTTCTTTTAGTTGTGTTCAATTGTCCTCAATATGGTGTACAACTAATCTATTTATTTTAAATGAGATAGGTGGTGCCCCGAATGTGAATGCACAAACCAACTTCGAGGATGAGACGGAGCCGATCCATAATGATACAGGTTAGAAATTATATTCCTAATTTCGGGTAAACATATAGTGTAACTCTTTGTATTAATTTATCGTGTTATGCTCTTTGGCTAGATGGTGCACCGAATGGGAATGCACAAACCAACTTCGAGAATGGGACGGAGCCGGTGATCCATAATGATACAGGTTAGAAATTATATTCCTAATTTCGGGTAAACATATAGTGTAACTCTTTGTATTAATTTATCGTGTTATGCTCTTTGGCTAGATGGTGCCCCGTGGAGGGTTGCTCGGATTCCCAATACTAGTTGGAAGAATTACCCATGGCTACATTGTTTGGAATCCTACGTGCAACGACTAGTTCGTGGTTGGTTCAACCCTATTCCAGATGGACACTGTGGATTTCGAGCTATATCACAAGCAGCTACTGGGGACCAAAGGAATTGGCCACAAATGAGACGCGCTGTTCTAGAGGAGCTTGAATCCCGTCCTGAGCTTTATAGAGCCTACTATGATGGAATAGCAAATGGAATAGAAGATGGCATTCGACGTTGCAGGTGGGCATCAACAAGTGGCTGTGGACCTTTCAACTGGATGGATAATGCGGAACTCTTCGTCTTCGCCACCTTGCATTCATGGGCCATCGTTGTATACAGTCAAGGCGGTCGTTATACCGTGCTACCTGTGACGGCCCCACCAGGAGTAACAAGACCACGTGGGATCTTATCACTACATTTTACGGGGGATCATTGGGTGCGACTTGACTTTCGACATGGTCAAGTGCCCATGCCTCCAATTAACTACCTTTGGCCTATTTATCATGACCCTAGTGTCAATGGGTGGGATCAATTCTTCTTACATGAGCGTGCGCTTTATGATAGATTGAACCCACGGGGATGAATTGTATAACTCTCTATTGTATAACTCTCTATTTACGAATTGTATAACTCTCTATTGTTGAAACATTTAGTAATCTACCATGTTGATTAACTATTTTAGCAATGCATTGAATGTAACTAAAGTAAAAAAACACACAACCGTCTCAATTAAACTACAAACGATGACAAATAAAACACACAATAGTCATAGTTCAACTACAAACGATGACAAATAAAACACACAATAGTCTCAGTTCAACTACAAACGATGACAAATAAAAACACAATCGTCTACTGAGGCGGCTGCCCTACCAACTGATCGTACAACTCGAAAACTCCAGCTGCCATATCATAGAGCTTACCACCGTCCTCCTCCCACTTACTCCGGTCCCTCGTCTGCAACAAGGGGCCTAAACGATCCACAATCTGCTCTCTCAACTGTAAATAGAAAACAATGTTAGAATAAATAACAAATGTCCTTTATATTTGGAAAAGCAAAAGAAAGTCATAACTAACCTGATGAACTAGTAGTGGTCGAGGCTGAGGCTCCTCATCAGTGGGGTGGGTGATCCGTGGGTGCGATCTAGTCAGAAACCAGTCAACGTACTCCTCCACGATCTCCGATGGCTGCTCGCACGGCCGAGAAGCAAAATCCAACTCTAGACGACGAGCTGCCACGTTATTCCACAACTGATTCACCCACGGATCCCAAAAGACTATGTAACTGCTGCCGGAAGCCGGACGGTAATGGTCATGTGGTACCGTCATAGCAGCGGGGATAATCTGTCGGTATCCAAACTGGCGCAGACAACGTGAAGGATCGTATCCCTCAGCAATGTCAGAAAAGCGAATGGGGCCAGTATACAAGGAGCGGGGTATATCTGTGTGGCCATCTCGTCCGTACGGAGTCCAGGTCACATCATCAGCTGAAAGCTCATCCAACAACTGTCGATAACGTACTAACCTCTGTCTAGCCTCATCCCCACCTGGCAAACGGGGAGAAATCCACGAGGAAGCACGAGGTGCATCCGGAGACTGTGGCAGCTGGCTCGGACGGAAAAGAGGAAAGTACTCATATATCCAAGCCTGAAGCAGGGTCAAACAACCACAAAGACCCTTACTACCCGCTCGTGTGGCCACTCCCAACTGTCTGTAGAGATAGGCTAGTGCACCAGCTCCCCAAGCGTAATCAGCCAATCGTCGATGATCCTTCAGAAACAAGTTGATCGCAGGACGAAGGCGATCACGACTCTTATCCACAAAAAGCGTGGATCCCAGCAACACAAATAGGTAACACTGCACCTCCATCTCCTTAATCTTCAGCTCTCCCCCACGCACCAACAATCCCTCTGCATGCATAGCACCATTATCGTACCACTTCGACTTCCACTTACCACCAACCTGAGCATCCACCGAAAGTCGAACTAGACCACCCATGTCTGACTTAAGAGTATCCTGCGACGCCTCATCTCCCATCAGCTCTCCGTCAACCGGTATCCGAAGAATGTGATGCACATCGTGTAGAAGGATCGAAATCTCTCCAAACGGCATGTGGAAGGTGTTTGTGTCCGGCTGCCACCTCTCCACAAATGCCGACAGTAGAGCCATGTCTAAATGCTGCATCATGCACCCCGTCAAGTGAGACAATCCTGTGGCTTCAACCATCTCCTTGGAACCCTCTGCACTCCACTTATATCGCCTCAAAGTCTCTACAGCTCTCGGCCTATGGAAGCCGTCCAACACTCCACGGTCCTGCTCAGGGGAATTCCACAGTACCAAGCCAATGTGACCTCCAAAGCTAGGGATCACATCGGGAATCACTGGTCCACCTGAACACATCGGAGACTCGGCTGTAAGAAACCACGACATATCTTTCCTCGTGGTCTTCCTCTTCCTATTTCCATCTCCGCCATCCTCGCTACTAGGTCTGGACGCATAGCGTCCATCGGGCCCACGGAAGTGGGAGGAGGCAGTAGAAGATACCCCGACCCGTGCCGTCTTCCCCACGCCTAAATCAGCTTGAGGTGGGGCATCCCCAGCCTCAGCATCACCAGCACCATCAACAGCATCATCAACAGCAGCATCACCAGCAGCAGCACCAGCATCTGGGGCATTCCCAACCTCAGCATCACCGTCATCATCATCATCCTCGTCAATGGAATCACTCCAATTAGCCTGCCATACCGGTGCGGTATCTGGTGTAGGAGTACTGGTAGTGCCTCGACTAAGAGACAACTGCCCCACAGTAGGGTGGCCGTCAGGACGCACTACATCCGCCTTCTTCTTCCTTCTAACCTTAGGTGGATTTTTTTCTTCATTTTCCTTCCTACCAGTCGCCGTAAGTCTACAAGCACGACCCTCCATTCTCTCCTTATTTCTCGCCTTAATCATATCCGGTTTACCCATTCCATGTCCAGACATCTTCAAAAAAAAGTTTGAATTATTAATAATGGAGTACATAAAGTAATTAATTTAAGATTTTCATAATTAAAATTATAAAACTAATAGTTTTAACATTTATGTTACGTTCTATGTAATAATTATTTACTTTTTAATCAAGGTAAAATTATTAATAATTAAGTAGATAAACGAATTACTTTGAAATTTTGATTATTAAAATGATAAAAACACATTTTTAATTTTTTTATAATGTTCTTTAAATTTGTTATCTTTAAATAACAATTATCGAATACGATTTTAATTTTTTTTTATATAACTAAATTATAACTAAATTAACATTTATCGAATACGTTATTATTAATTATCATTATAACTAAATTAGTATTTATCAATAATATAACTAAATTCTTTTATTATGTATATTTTTTTAATTTTTTTATTATTATTAACATTAAACACAGAATTTAAAAAACAGAATTTTAAAAAAAAAAAGCCGAACCGCGGTCAACGCGCGGTTTGACCGACGGTCAACCGCGGTCAACGCGCGGTTGGACCTGCGGTCAACCGCGGTCAATGCGCGGTCCGACCAGCGGCTGACCGCGGTCAAAGCGCGGTTTACCCATCGGTCAACCGCCCTTTGACCGCGGTCAGCCGCTGGTCGGACCGCGCGTTGACCGCGGTTGACCGCAGGTCCAACCGCGCGTTGACCGCGGTTGACCGTCGGCTCAACCGCGCGGTGACCGCGGTTCGTGCAATTTTTTTTCTTTTTTTCTTACCTTCTTCTCCACGCGGCTGGAGGCGACGGGGCGGCGACGGGAGGCGACGGGGCAGGCGACGGGAGGCGACGGGGCAGGCGACGGGCGGCGACGGGGGCGGCGGGCTGGCGGCGGGAGGCGACGGGGGCGGCGGCAGGGGGCGGCAGGGGGCGGCGGGCTGGCGTCGCCGGCGGTGGCAGGGGGCGGCGGGCCGGCGGCGGGCTGGCGTCGCCGGCGGTTGAGGGGGAGGGAGTGCAGAGGTGAGGAGTTGGGGGGAGGGGGAGGGAGAATGAATTTTTGAATTTGCCTTAAGGGCTTGTTTGTTTTGAGTTTTTGCTTAAGGGCATGTAGGTAATTTTATATTTTAGTTAGGGCGATGTTTAGCAATTCTTAGGGCGACATTTAGCGATTCAGAAACAAAACCCCCAAGATTACCCCCCAACCTTCCTTTAATTGTTGTTTGTTTTCTTCCTCAGATACAGATTAGGAGGATTTTTACTATGATTATTATTATAGAAAGAAACTAATAACTAACTCCACCCCAAAACAAAACCAAACCAAGATGGACCCGAATTCATCCTCCATTTTTTTCTCACTTCATCAGCCCTTTCGCTGTCGTCGGAATCACAAACGTCGGCCAAGAAAACCCTTCCGGGTCCACATACGAACCTCCCCCACTCCCATTCCCCTTCTCCATCTCACCCACCTGCGCCCACGCGCCCATCACATTACCACCGCACCCGACTCCATCTCCGCCGCCGAGGTAGTCGGTAGTTGTGGTGCTGCTCGAAGCAGAGTAGTACGGCCACATTCCTCTCGCGGCCGCAGCATTACCCGCTAACCCAAGATCCATGTCGCAGAACCCGTACCCATGACCCGACCCGTACCCGGTTAGGGACCCGACGAGCCCACCTCCTTGATTGTTGAGCAGGGAGATGAAGCTTCCGCTTCCGATCCCGTTCTCGCTCACAACCGGCTGCCGATTCTCCTTCAGATTACTGAGCTCGTCGCACTTCCCGGCCTCCGCCACCGACCTGAAAACCGGGTCGAATCCGAGGTGGAGCGGCGGGTCGGAATAGTGATCGTGCTGCTGCTCGTGAGCGAGGGAAGACATCGAAGTGGTGGAATTCGAGGACGAAGATGTCGTCGTGTTTGTCGACGCCGACGAATCCATGTTGATATTGCTGTAATTGTTGTTGTTGGTGGTGGTGGTGGTGGTAACCGCGGCGGCGGAAGCGGAGGAGGCGCGTTGGCGCTTGGAGGAGGAGGCGGCAGAGGAGGACTTCCGTGTGCCGCCGCCGACGGGGACGTTGCGGAGGGAGCCGCCCTGGGTCCAGTACCGGCGGCACGACTTGCAGAAGTGGCGGGGCTGGGAGAGGTTGTAGTTGTTGTAGTAGCAGAATTTCGTGTTCGTCGATTCGCACCGCGGGCACGGCAGCGACGGCGCGTCGTCCGCGCTCCCGCCCATGGATGCCGCAATAGGAAAAGCTAGCGCCGCCGCAGCTGTCGGATTATCGCCGATTTCTGACGGCATTAGAAGGGAAACCTTTTTGTATATTTTTTTTGGAGGGCAGAGATTTTCCTTTTTTTTTTGTTTTTTGGAGGCAGAGATTTTAGCTGGTAAGGTTGCAACGGTGGAATGTGGGGTTTATAGAGAGAGGAGGAGAAGGCGGTGAGCGAGGGGGATGGGGTTTTGATTATCTGCTTTCGATTTCCTTCACCGTGTTGCTGCTCTTGAGTCTTGACTCCTTGATCTCGACACGTGGCAGGTCTACGAGTCATAGATCTAGGTTAGATGAGGGCTGAAACTTATGATGTGGTGCGTCCGTGTTTTCCATGTGTTCTCGTGCATCATACTTAGATCACTAAATTCGAACTTAGGTCGTCACGTGATGCGTATGACGTATCGTGATTTTACATGGAAGTTTGTCGTTTTTGAAGGATTCAATTATGAATGTCAAGGCATTGTTTTTTTTTCTCTCTCTCTCTCCAACTGAAATTGACGTGTATGAACGGTTTGTTGACTAGAGGGGGCCACTTTAAAGTCGAATATCGCGTTGTGTATGCTCTTTGATGCATTGTATTCCTTCAGTTTCAACTACCGGCTTTTGTAAGATTATGTTACGTTGTTGTTGTCAATAAAGTGGGCAGGAGCGGCTCAACTTGATTGGTTGGATTCATAGAATTGAACTTGACCTGGGACTTGCTTGCTGACGCGCTATATACCTTTCGGTTTCAACTACCAACTTTCGTAGGATGCAATTATGTTGTTGCCATCACCTTTGTTGTCAGACACCGCCTTGACCTTATTGGCTTAGCTGATAGAATCAGAATCCAATAACATGACAGGCTGATTGAGTAACAATTAAACTCAACCATATGATCTCGTGAAGTTAATTCCTGCAGGGAGCGTTCTATGTTTCATGACATGTCGTCGCGTTTTCTTCAATTTCAAACCACTCACTTCTAATAGAAATTAGTGATGAAGTGGTTGTAAGGTATACTTGAATTTTATCAATTGACAGGATGGAATGTGAACCAAATAACTTATTAGTCCATTGAATAACATTTGAAACTCTCCACATCCAACATTATTATGTCCAGGGTTTTATCCATTTGGTTAGGAAACTCGGTTTAACTTTCACATCTAGTTCTTATGCACTGAATCCGCCTCTTTTGACACTACATTTGGCAAATATTTTTCCACGACTTGACATAACTTCTTGAAAATTGCTTTGCTCTAGTTCTTTGACTGGAAGATATTTTAATGCACCTTGGTCTATCTGTGGCAAATTGCTTGACATTACTTCCACATCAAAAATTAATGTTGCTTTTACTCTGTGCTCTCTCTGGTCATTTTCACCATCTTTTGGTTCAATCATTGGTTGAGCTAGTTTCTGGGGAGTTTAATATCTTATAAGATCACAACCAGGGGCGGACCTGTGTGTTGGGTAGGGGTGTCGCCCGACACCCCTTCGCCCGAAATTTTTGTGAAGGACCTATATTTTTTCGATACAAAAAATTTTAATACGAAATTTCCGACACCGCTCTAATAATTATAGACGAACCCATTCATTATACTAGAAATTATTTATTGTTATAAATGTGTTCATCTTAATTTTTAATTATTCATACTAAGTAAAATAATTTTGGTTTAGTCTAAATAACCCATCACCATAAAATTCCACCCCACATACAAACAGCAGTAAAGCACCCTTGCTGGAAGAACAAGGCGTAGTACCCCTCATCAGCCCACAAACTTGCATCACTATCAAGTTGAGCTATTTTATGAAGTCATTGATATGCAATTGCAAGAATTGAATACTCGATTTGGTGAGGTGAATACTCGATTGTTGGACTGCATTTCTTGTTTTAGTCCAACTAACTCTTTTGGTGAGCCGAATTTTAGGCTAAATGTTTGTTCTTTTCTTAACCAAAGAGTTACCGATCAATTTATTAGGGAGGATGTTATTATCTCTTTAAAAGAACAAGTTACAACTTTACTGTTTCTTAGAGTCACATCAAAACACTGTCACTTGGTTTGCTTTTTTGCCTCTTGTTCTCCTTTCTGATTGGCCCTTCTTCTGAGTACTGACATCCATAGGTGGCTCTCTTTTGTAATTAACCATTAACCAAGGTTTTACTGAGGACGAAAAATGCACTGATGTTTCCTTTCTTTGCCAGATTTTAGCTGAGTCTTCGTTTGTAATCATTGCTTTCCTCTCTCTGGTCTCTATGCTTTTTGCCTGGGTTGCTTCGCCAGCGACTTCTCTTCTCTCTGCAACTGATCGGTTTTCGAAACTCCTCACCTTTCCCCTGGAAATGACAGGACTGCCGCTTCCTTATCTGTTCCTTTCCCCACAAAAGTCTTGTTTTGCTTTGCTACCTTTCATTTATGCTTCTCACAGACTTTTCCTCTTCTATCTTGCTTTCTTCTATTGCTCTTCCATGGTGACCCATAAATTGCTTCTTGACCTCAGCGACTCCGATGGCCCTCAGACTCTTCTGAAGCTGCGCCTCCTTAATGCGTGGGGGTCTTATGGTCTGAAGAATCCTAAATTAATCTTCAACTACTGCACTCTTTGGAACGATGAGGAGGTTAGCGCTGCTTTTCTGTTTTTTTTTTTTGCCATGCACTTTTGCGCCTCCCTTTTGTTTGCAGCCCTCTGATGTTCGTGTATTTCCTGCCCAGGGTACTTTGATTCAGGGCACAGCTCCGTCGGAACTCACGCGCCATTTTGCTCCGCTTCTGCAGTTGGGTAGCGTTTACTTCGTTAGCAATTTCCGCGTCAAGCCACCGTCCCCTTCGTATCGTTCTTGCTCTCATAAGTTGACCATCGTCCTCTCTGCCGCTACACAGTTCGAAGACGTGACCCGTTCGTCGCCTTCATTCTGGCCGGATGCGTTTGAATTTACCCCGTTCAGTTCGCTTCATTCCCGCATACGTTCATCGGTTTATCTAACAGGTCTTATTCTGTGTCCTTTACGTCTCTTGCTGTTCGTTTTATAGTGTACTGAATAACATCCTTTGCGTTCTTCTCTTGCTTGCGGCTCTGTCAGATGTCGTTGGCGCTGTTGTTAGCATCACAGGCGTTTCTAGCACCGTCACTTCATTCGGTACCACTGTGCGTAGTGATTTGGTGCTTCAGAATGAAAAGTATGTTACACATGCACACCACTTCTTTATCGACTATAATACACCTGTTACTAACTTTCGGTGTTTCGTTGGCCAGTCACATGTTTCTTGATATCAGCCTGTGGAGTGAGATAGCTCGGAATCTCAATGGTCAGGAACTGGCTGTCCTTGGTCGTTCTGGGCCAGTTATGCTAGCTGTTTCCTCACTTCGGGTCACTGGCGCTACGAAAGGTCTCCATATACCTTACCGCCGCAGGATTCTCCCTTTCATTTCCCTTCCTCTTTTCCTCATTAACTTTACCCCTTTTGTAGGAGGTTACTCTCTTACCAGTACTCCAGGCACACGTTGTGTTCTCAACCCTGTTTCTGAAATGGCTCACCTGGTCCAATCTGTGTATGCCTCTTCTTATCCTTATCATACTTTTTTTTCCCTCAGCATCGTCAGTTGTCTTTTTGTTCCTGCTAATTTGTTGCGTTCCTTGCTTTTGCTTTCGCTAGGTTCTTTGCCAGCACTAATACATGTCAATATTACCCTCCGAGGTTTGCAACTCCTAATGAGGCAGCGGCTTTTGAAGCTGAATGTACGAAAACTGTAGCACAACTCCTTGCCTTGTGTTTTCCACCTGCTGCCGATGTATGTTCCTTCCCCTTTTGCTCTCCTGCTTACCTGCTTCTGTTCCTTTCACTTCATTTGTTTGTCCGTCTAATCGTTTCTTCCGTTTCCTTTTGTGTAGTCTACGCGTTACCATTGCTCTGGTCGGATCGTCTCGGTTGATTCTTCTATGCAGTGGTATTACTTGGGTTGTGCGCTTTGTTCCAAAGCAGCCATAGATTATGATGGTGTTGACAAATGGTGTGATGACCACCGTCGATTGGTGCCTCAACAAACACAGAACTTGTAATTCCTTTCTTCATTCTTGCCCCCATACCTTTTGCCTTTTCTCGTGTCCTTACATGCTCCTGTACGTGTTTTGTGCAGTTACAAGCTCCGGGTAACAGTTGATGACAACACTGGATCAGCAGCTTTTGTTCTGCTGGGTAGGGCCGCTGACCTTCTTGTGGGCTTGACTGCTAACGATCTCTCTACCAGGTTTCCTTACCAGCGCAATGTTTTGCCACAAGAACTCCTGGCTCTTGAAGGGCGAGACTTTACTTTTGACGTCCAGCTTCCAAAACCGGAATATGGGTCTCGTGGCCCCCCAGAGTTCACGGTCCTTGCTGTCACTGAACAAGAACAACCAAATTCCTGCTCACCAGCTCTTGGTCGCCGGGCAAGAAATGCTATGTCCCATACACCACCTCCTAACAGGTATTTACATGTCCTGACTTTTGTGGTACGTTTTCCTTTTGTTCATTACTACTCGCTGCTTTCCGTTGCAGTCCTCACAAGATGCCTCTTGCTTCTCCATATGTTGTTCAACAATGCCGAAACGCTTCGGTAGACCATGGTCCTTCTGTTGCTTCACCGAGGTTATGCTTCCATTTTACATGCCCTCTTTTCCCTGATTGTTCTTTGTCTTGAACTCGGGTTTCTTCTTAAATTTGCAGTGGGAGTTCTCAGCTTGCATTTTCTACTCCTCCACGTCGCCCCTATAGCAGGTTGTTTCTAAAATTCACTTTGCTTTACAAAATTGACAGCGCTCCTTTGGACGCTGTCGTACTCTTCCCAATGTGTTGACATTTCTTTCCCATGCGTTGTTTACCATCAATTTCCAGTAGCCGCATCGCTGCTGTATCTTCGCCCTCATCTGCTGCATTAGGAAGGTTGTCTGTTTGTTGTCTGCTTTGCTAGCTTAGTTCTGCTTATACACGTTCTTAAGTCGTTTCCTGACATGTTTCTTTTAAACATCAGTTCCGTACCTTCTTCTCCCGAACTTAGTCGTACTGAGATTGTTTCCTATGCGCGGTCAGTTTCTTGCCTTTTCCTGTATTACCTCAATCGTTCGACTTTACGCCTGCTGATATTTGTCACTGTCTCTTGCACACCCGATTTTACTGCTTCGTAGGCCTAGAAGTGAGGAAGTGCCCCCAGAAACTGCACCACAGCGAACCCCACAGTACTTTCCCTACTGTTAACTTACTTACTAGCTTTTATTGTCTCTTCTTTCCTTGCTGAGCAACTCTGTATCAGGGAACTTGCTGCGGACACTACAGATGCTAATGTGCAGAACAAGAACATCAGTTCAAAGAAAGCGAAGCCGAAGAAACCATCTGCTAAGAAGAAGTCTCTCTGCCCTTTATTACTTGCTATGTTTCTTGTACCAAATTTACCATATCCTACATTAGGTCTTCAGTTCCTATTTACCTTGCTTCTGCTTGCGTACTGGCAATTTACTTGGTTGTTGTGCAATCTCTTAAAAAAATGTGCCCTGCTCCCTACCCATTTCCCAGTGTTCTTTCGTTTTACCACTTACTTGGTTGTTAACTGTGCATACGCCACTATTGCCTCTTGGAATCCTTGTGTTTATCATAGTATCCTGCAGTGTACTTCGATTTACTGGCCTTACCTTCTACAACTTTGTTTAACTTTTGCAGGAAAACTGGTGCTGCAGGTGCTGCGCGTCGTCCTACAGTTACTCTAGAAGAAACCGATGTTCCGATAGCGTCCCTTCAGATCCCTGTTGGACATCCTTTGCCAACCGAATCGGCGAATCCTGTCTCTGGAAATCTTAATGCCCTCGGTGTCAATTTGCAGACAACAACAATTCAGCCTTTGTCACAGTATGTGTCGTCCTAATTATCTTTCTGCCAGTGTTGTCTGCTCCCTAAGATTCCAGTTTGCATGATTTTTGTGCCCTTTTCAAACTTATCAAAGATGGTTTCCAGCCTGCACAAAATACTTATTTTTGACGGGAAAGAACTGTAAACAATGCTTTTACATTTACCTTGGTCTTGTGCTTTTATACATGGTTCTATTTCGTTAACATAAAGTACAATAGCCGATGGATGGCCTTTTGTACCCCTTTCTTCGACCTTCGCTAACTTACACGTGTTTACAGTTTGCAGACGCACAATGTTACCTCTCAGTGCCATACTAATTATCTACGAATGTGTTTACCTTTTTTAAATACAGAACAAATAAACAAATAGTTGTAGCTTTTGCTTACTTGGTCAGCTTCAAATCAATTGTTTTCCCACAGATTGAAGTAATAATCGTCTTTACTTTATGGAGATCCCTTGTGCAGTTTGTTCTTTGTTGTTAGCCATTGTCTTATTCTTGATTTACAAGTTGCTGCCGCATTGCATAGGAATGTGCATGTTTTCCCATATAGATGTGTTGTTAAAGACCTACTTCCTCTGTTTCCTTTTCTAGGCAACCTATGTCTATAAATCCTGCACCTGTACGGCGCCGTCGCTTGGTTGTTTATTCTGATGAAGACGAACCTGTTGTCCCTTTGGAACTGCAAGACTTGGATGTTGAACTTCCACTGCAAGAACAGCCTGTTGGAAACTCTTCGACTTATCCTGTTCCCACTGTTGACGTTCCTTTGCCTTCTCCTCTTCTTGCTGTCCAAGAAGTTCCGCTACTTTCAGTGGGGAAAACTAATTCTGGGAGGGCAAAGCGAATCAGAACACCGTCTACAAAGGCCATTGAAGCATCTGTGGATGCTTCTAAGAGAAAGCCAAGAACTCCAAAATCGTCTGCTAAGGAACCTGCTAAGAAGCAACTGTTTGCTGATTAACCGTGATTCGCACCATGCGCGTGCTAATGTACCATGTTTGTCCAGTACTGTCCCTCCCTTCCTTTGTAGAACTGTTTAAGGGGAACACTATTTAGCGAGTAGTGCATTCTGTACTCTTGCCTTTTTGTCTGAATGTTGCAACCTTTGGCACACCTGTGGTGTTCCATTACTGGCACCACTGTTATCAATCTGCTCTGCTATGACATTTGACTTGTATTGGTTACCTCTTGGTACAGATTACCCCTTGCGTACCTGCTTTCTAACCAGGTCTATGTCGTTAATATAAAACACCATTTGGGCATGGACTCCTTTAAGTGCATAGTATTGCGCCACTCTGCAACTGATCTTTATTTGTGCTAAGGATCTGTTGTACTTTGTATCTCCATTTGTTGCGCGAAAAATTCGCCGTTTAGGCCGCATTCGCATCGCGCCTGTGTCCTCTTCGTTAGTCACTTGTTTTGCTCTGTATTCGCAGGTGGCCATTGCCTGTTGTAAATGGCCGCTTTGAGGACCAAATTGTGCACACATTTTTTCGGTGGCAGGGTATTTAGGTGGTGTCCTACCAGCCACACAGTAACTAGATATTTTGATTGTCCACTAATACCATGCCTTTGTTTATTAGCTTCCATAGACCCACATTATAAACTTATTTCTCTTCTATTAATTGCCATCATGCATTTATTATTCTGACTAGGCTGTTCACTAATGATGGCTTTATTACTTCTCACTTCTCTAGACTAGCCTGCTATGGTGCATGTTGTATTATTATACATTTTCTTAAGAAGGATATTTTTCCCTGGAAACATCGTTTACCTGTAGACTGTCTTCTTCCATAACTGCTTCCCCATTACTGCTCCTTTTTGCTCATTTTGTCTTTGCTGTTGGTCATTGAATGCAATTCTCTGCTGCATCTGCTATACCATTACCTGGTATCTGCCTTCCTCTGCAATTCTGCCAGTTTTGTTATTCCACTGTACCCGTTTAGAAGGCGTGGCATGGTTAGTTTGGTCAATTTATTACTTTTATCTTGCTACGTTTACCATTGTTTCCTGTACCATGCTACGCTTGTGCCATAGTTTGCAGGTCTTTGTTTTTTTTTGTAACGTCAGTGTGTGATCTCAGGCCACTCCCAGACAGGCTGCACTCCTGTTCCCCGGTCGTTCTGCGAATAGGAAGCGTCGTCATATTGGTCTTTCCACTGAATTTGTGCCTACCACGCCTCCTTCGAGAAGTTCTGTTAGGCGTCGTGCGTGCAACTTTGATAGACGGGGACGCTTGCACCCACTGCTTGATTCAGAAGGTGAACTTGACTCATCCGAACTGGACTTAAGAACTCCTGAAGACTTAACAGCCAGTTCGCAGACTCAGCCTCCTGTTGCGTTGGATGGTGATTGTTCGTTGCCTGATGTGACTCTACCACCTTCACAACAATCAGACTTCAGTCGAATTATCGATCATGGTTTCCCTGACTGTGAATGCCAATACTGTGGTGCACGGTTCTGGTATGAAGAGCGGCTTAACAGGCATGCATCTCTTGCTCCTGTTTTCACGCTTTGTTGTCAAAAGGGACGAGTACGCCTCCCATTCCTACAGGAAACTCCTCAGTACCTTGAAGACCTCTTGGGTGTTAATGCCGGTCCTATGGCAGCGCACTTCAGGGAACATATACGCTCCTATAATGCTGCTTTTTCTTTCACATCTTTTGGAGCACGCCTTGATCCGAGAGTTACACGTTCACGAGGACCTTATTCGTTTGTGATATGCGGAGAAAATTATCATCGAATGGGATCTCTGCTTCCTGCTGCAGGTCAGAGACCTAAATATTCTCAGCTATACGTCTTTGACCCGCAGACCGAATTAGCAGATCGACTCTCCAATTTCTCTTTGCTGAAAGGTCCCCTGCGTCCTGATATTGTTTCTGGTTTAATGAAGCTGTTTGACGTGACAAATGAATTAGTTAAGTCTTTTAGACGAATTCGATCTGAATTGAATGATCCAGCATCAATCAATTTAAGACTGCGTATTGTTGGTGCAAGGGACACAACATCTCGACAGTATGAACTTCCAACTGGTTCAGAATTGGCTGGACTCATTCCTGGTGATTTCTTGCCTGATAAGGAAGAACGAGACATCATTATCGATCATCGGTCAGAGGGCCTGAAGAGGATCACAAGTGTACACCCAAAGTTTGATGCTTTGCATTTCCGGTTCTTTTCCCATACGGAGAAGATGGATTCCATGTAACCATACCGTATGATCCTGTTCATACTCCCAAAACATTGAAAGGAAACATGTGACTCAGAGAGAGTACTATGCTTACCGCTTCAGCACAAGAGACGACGAAGGTCAGACATTGATGCGAGGTGGGAAGGCACTTCAACATTACGTGGTTGATGCATATTCCACAATTGAACAAAACCGACTCTATTATTTGCGATCGCATCAAGAAAAACCTCCGTTCTGAACTATACTATGGCCTTACAGATGCTTTCAACAGAGGTGATGTTACAGGAGATGCTGTTGGCCATGTTGTTCTGCCATCATCGCATACTGAAGTCCTAGGTACATGAAGCAACTATACTTAGATGCAATGGCTGTTGTCCACCATCATGGCAGCCCCGACCTATTCATAACCTTTACGTGCAACTCCCAGTGGCCAGAAATAACAGAATCTTTCCGCACTGTCTGTGGTGCACGCAGCGAACTAAAACCAGAGATTGTTGCTAGGGTCTTTCGCATGAAACTGAATGCACTGGAAGATGAATTAACACGAGGCCATTTTTTTGGTCAAACAGTGGCAGGTTTGTTCGGTTGCCTTCTGTCTTACTTCCTTTTACAATTGCCTGTTATCAATTCTCCTTTTCCTGTTACTCTAAACTTCCTCACTTACCTCATGTTTTGTGCTCTAGCATAAATGACACATTTCGTTGCCTTATAATTCCAGGTATCAAAACCGTCGAGTTTCAGAAACGGGGTTTGCCCCATGTTCATATACTTTTATGGTTGGATGCAAAGAATAAGCTACGACAAGCTTCTGATATTGATGCAACTGTTAGTGCTGAACTGCCAGATCCATTACTAGATCCAATTGGGTATGATGCTGTGACAAAGTTTATGCTGCATGGTCCGTGTGGTCAAGATAATCCGACCAATGTTTGCATGAAAGAAGGATCGTGTTCAAAGTATTTTCCAAAACCGTTTAATTCAGAAACTACAACGGACCAGTTTGGCTATACAGTCTATCGCCGTCGCGATACAGGTATAACAGCAGTGAAAGGTACAGCTATACTAGACAACCGGTTTATCGTTCCATATAATCGGAATTTACTTGTGCTGTTTCAAGCTCATATCAATGTCGAGGTCTGTCATCAAGGCCGCTTGATTAAATATTTGTTTAAGTACATTACAAAAGGGCCTGATAGATCCATGGTTCTTGCTGAAACTGCTGGCTTGTCTGTGTCTGATTCTGCTACCCCAAACCATATCCCTCCATTGGACGAAATTAAACAGTTTCTTGATTGTAGAAGTCTGTCTTCATATGAGGCAGCGTGGCGGATCTTTGAATTCCCTGTTCATGAACGAACACCGCCGGTTCAGCGGTTGTGCGTTCATCTTGAAGGGAGACATTATGTTCCTTATAGGAAGAAACAACGGCTGTCTCGAATACTTGCCCGCGATTCTGTTTCAGAGACAACATTGACACAATGGTTTTACCTTAACCAACGAGATCCAACTGCAAGGGATCTACTTTATGCCGAGACTCCGAATCGTTATATATGGAATGTGAAAACAAAAAAATGGGCTCCGCGGAAAAGAGGGTTCTCAATTGGAAGAATTGTCTATATCCATCCAGGTTGTGGTGATACATTTTATCTCAGACAACTTCTTACCAAAGTTCGTGGGTCAGTTAGTTATGCAGATCTTCGGACAGTCCATGGATTCCCATGTAGAACATATCAAGATGCGTGCCAGCGCCTTGGTCTTTTGTCTAACGATGATGAATGGTTACTTGTGATTAAAGAAGTCAGCCAATGGGGCATGTGCCGCTTGTTACGATACCTCTTTGTGTCCATGCTGATGTTCTGTGAACTATCAAACCCACTGCAGCTTTTCAATCAGACATGGGAATTGCTTTGCGAAGACATCACATATAGGTGCCAACGAGACGTTTGCTTCAACAACAACCTCATACCAACTGAATTGCCCAAAAATAAATTGTTGTGGGAATTGCAGCACATGTTACATGCTTATTCAGCCACGTTATCTCATTTTAACCTTCCCTTGCCAACAGATGATCACCCACAAACTGATCCCTTGCTTCAGTTTGGAACTGATTCACATCCTGGTACTTTAGCTGCTGTGGATTCCCCACCTCCTGTAGTTGGTGATCTTAACAGAAAGCAACTTGAAGCTTTTCATTGTGTAATGGAATCTGTTATGTCTCCAACAGAAGACTCGCCTACATTCTACTTTCTGTATGGTCATGGAGGAACAGGCAAGACTTTTCTCTACAAAACTATTCTTGCGCAACTTAAAGAAGCTGGAAAAATAGTTTTGGTAGTTGCTTCTTCAGGAATTGCAGCAACATTACTTCCTGATGCAAGTACAGCTCACTCTCGGTTTAAAATACCACTGGAAATCGATCATGGTTCTTCATGTAATATCAAGAAAGGTACGCCATTGGCTCAATTGATCATTAATGCATCGCTTATAATATGGGATGAAGCCCCAATGGTTCACAGATTGTCTTTTGAGGCAGTAAACAGAGCTTTTTGTGATATTATGGATGTTCCGTTTGGTGGTGCACACTATAAACCGTTTGGTGGCAAAGTTGTTCTTCTTGGAGGCGATTTTCGTCAAACGCTTCCAATAGTAGCTGATGCTGGCAGAGAAGAGAGTATTGATTCATCTCTGACCTGTTCCTTTTTGTGGCAACATTGCACTGTGTTGCACTTAACTGAAAATATGCGCGTGGTTGCTTCCCGGGAGAGTCAAAGGTCAACTTTTGGTGGCATGCCCTTTACCGAATGGACTCTTGCTGTGGGAAATGGG